CGCTGAGATGTCTTGGAAGTTCTTCATTCCGACGCTTAAAGCTTTCCCGATAGGGCAAGTGGAGGCGATGCTCATGGTCATGTACGACGGGGATGGCGTTCTCCTCAAGGAGAGCACCAGGTTGGTTGCCGTTAGGCACACGCGGATCGGACGCGACTTGAGTTACAGTGCCGTTAGGCACAGGTATACTCAGGAAGATGCACCTGGCGGATCTCTGATGTATGAGATGCATTGGAATGAACTCCCCATGGTGGGGTACGTCATCATGAAGTTCTCGGACTTTCGGAAGGCGGTTCAGCTCCAAAGGGTGAGGCGAAATGGAAAGGCCATGATCGAGATATTGATCACGAGGCCCGATGTGTACGAGACCATTGGGGATGGTAGGCAGGATGAGGGCCTGATCCCACTTGTGGGAGCCATGGCGCCGGATGCTGAGGTATCGCCTTCGTGGTATGTCAGGGACAGGCTGCGGAACTACTCCGGTAGGTACGTGGTGGTAATGGTGGATCTTCGGGTGCACTGGTCCTTGGTTGGACCCGTGTTTTTGACGAGAAGGAAGACTCTTGCCGTTAGGAACGAGATCCACATGGGGGCTTGGAAGGCGGCGTATATGTACGATGATTACACGATAGTGTACCATCGGGCATGGGACTACGGTGACTTCACCCCCGTTAGGGGAGAGCACAAGCGATCACGGGAAGAGATCAGGCTGAATGTGACTGCCACGTTCTGCTTGAGGTGCGCAGAATTGATGCCGAATGGGATGCACTTGTGTCCCGGGTGCGCGCTCCCGGTCTTTTACCCGAACTTTATCCCCAACGCGGAGGAAAAGGACTTCGAAACGTGCCACATCGTGCCGGAGTGGGTGAGGACCATGGGGCAGTTCAAGCCCAGGAGGATTCCCTCCGAAGTGGTCGGAGTCATCAAGAGGAATTTGATTTCCTATTCGATGGCATCCGATCTAAGGATGACGGTGCAGAGCGGCATCAGACTTCCCCCTTATCTTGGTGAAGACAAGGGAGGTGTCGATGCGGCGTGGGATGAGCTGGCGAAGGTGCTATTCCAATTCTCCTATGTGTCCGGGATTTCGGCCTCGGATGCGTTTGTGGAGAAGTGGGTGGCGAAGCACCTGATCAAGACCAACCAAGTCGATAGATTTGAGTCGGTCACGGAGTACTTCCGGGCCAACCCAAGACACGCTGCTCAGTGGGGTAGGCGTATGACGACTTCCGTTAGGAAGTTCGCTCGTCATGACACGTACTTGTCATTCTATATTCCGATGGCATACGTGATTGGTTCCGCGGCTGGTCATCTGACCCCATTGTACCCGACCCATCGAAAGGACGTGGACATCCTGGAGAGTCATGCGTTGATCTCGCAGCTCAGGAAGTACATGGTATCGGAGACAGGGTACGATGAGAAGAAGAGGTTGAAGGAGGCGATAGCCAAGGTGCAGAAGGCGATCAGCGCCGGACAGTCGGAGCCTCCCGCACCCTTCCGTGACCCGTTCGTCTACGTTAGTGACGAAAGGGTGAGGACGGTTCTTGACGGTCGTCAACCCGAACCATTGAACGTGGACATCGAGGGACTCCAATCGGTGCATCATGCTGCGCCGGGTCCTGGTCCCAAGCAGGAGCCGGTCCCCAAGGGCGGAAAAGGAAAAGGGAAGAAAGGGGAAAAGGGCGGTAAGGGCGGTAGTCCTTCCGGCCCACCACCAAAATCAGGTGAAGTGCCAGGTAAAGGATCTGGTAAGGGCGGTAGCCCATCTGTCCCAAAGGCGAAGGATGATGCTGGACCTGCTCCAATGGAGGTTGATACAGCAGCAGCTCAGCCGAAGAAGTCTTGGGCCGAAATGGTGGTTGAAGGGGCCAGGCCGAGTGCTAAGGCTAAAATGACCCCGGTTCCTAAGGCCGAGCCGAGAGGGAAGGCTGCTTCAGCATCTGAGGCGAAGAGTGCTCCGGCTCCAAAAGCTGTGGCTAAGGAGACGAAGCAGGCCGAACCGAAGGTTGAGGTCAAGAAGGAGAAGACAGGCGGAGGTGACGCTCCCGGCAGTAGCCGCGGGTCGGCCGAAGGGCAGAAGAGAGAAAGGAAATCCCGTTGGGATCCCGACGAGGCTGCGAAGGAGCCGACGAAGCGGGAGGCGCCCACGAGGCCTGGCGACGTCGACAGCAGACCAGGTGCGGCAGCGAGAGAAGCTAGCGGGGATGATCTTCACTCCGCGCTTGGCAGATCTTCGGCAAAGGATGCGGTAGCGCCTTTGACGGCCTCCAAGGCGATGGCAAAGAAGCCTGAAGGCGGGGAGATCCGGCTGCAGTCTGCTGAGCGGGCCGCGGCGAGCCCGGTGGAGGGTCACTTTCTGGTGCTGCCTGAGAGTTCGGTGGTGGACGCTTTCTTGTCGATCTCCACCAACAGAGTGCTGAACAAGCAGGTCAGGGATTTCATCAGGAATGGTGAGGACGCGTCGGCACTGGAGGCTCTCAACCAGATCGTGACGAACTCTCGATCTGGGAGGAGGCGTAGGGAATCGGATGTTTCCCGTACTCCTTCTCGGAGGTCCGTTAGGACCGTGGACACCAGGGATTCCAGAGAGTCGAGGAGGCGCAGATACCGTCCGCGGCGCGAGGATGATCGCGACCGGAGGAGGGACGATGCTCGTGATCGTCGTGATGATGATTCACTCGATCGGGAGCGAGATCGAAGGCGAGATGATCGCAGGAGATCCGAGAGGGATCGTGATAGGGACCGTGCGCGGGGCGGACGTGACCGGAGGAGACGTGACGATAGCCGGTAGGCTGAGTCACGAGGATTGCGGCCGATAGGCTTGCGTCCGTTCTCCAATGGTCGGCGCGGTGCGGAGGTGGTGATGTTCCTCCCGGACCGCTGAGGCGCGGAGGTCATGTCTCTCCCATACCGCTGCTGGGCTGCTGGACGTGTTCATCAGGGAGCAGTGTGAGTGAGAGGGAAAGCAAACTGATGGGGGGTTACTCCCGGGTTTGCTGAATTCAAGCATTTTTATTCAGGTACGCATGGTCAGGAGTACCTCTTGCCGTTAGGCGAGGGTACTAATGGACATACGTTATCTTTTATTTCATGGCTTCTGATAAGAATTAAACTTCTTGCATTGTTGATGCAAACAGTTGTGACCTAGTGTCGTCATGTGGACTTTTCCACAAGGTTTGTTGGACAGCGTTACCCCGATTAATTCGGGGTGGTGGCGGGAATTTAATGCCCGGGATGTCGCGCAACTGCCTTTGTGGGTTTGCTCCACCGCTGACGGCGGTAGTGTCCAGCTGTTTGCGGACGCATGCGAGCAGTTAAATCCTATCAGTAAATGGCACGCTCCACCCGTCATATGACGGGCTCCTCGTGAGGGGGGTGTGATTAGCCATGGTTCATATCATCATCAGGGACGTCGCGTTAGTGACCGACCTGTGGTGTTTTGGCTCAAGTTTTGGGTTCCGTCGCGCCTCGAATGGGCGTCGCCGAACCCCTGCGTCGACCGACGGCATCTCGGGGGAGAAAGAGACCTCGGGCCGCCGCCAGGTTGGTAGGGACCAGTCGTGCGGCCTGTTGTCGACCAAGGTTGCGGGTTAACCCTTTTCTTGTTTGGTTTGTTTTCCTTTGGTTGTTGTTCTCTGGTGTGTGGGAAACCCTGATCTTTGGGACCGGGGATTGGTTTGCTTTTGGGGAACCTTTCTTTTGTGGCTTGTTTACCCCAACTTACCCATTGCCTGGGCACAGGCTCGTGCCCGAATCACATTATGTATGTTATGCTATGTATGTATGTATTACGTATATTTGCATGTAGGTATGTATGTATGTATGTATGCTTGTATGTATGTATGTGTAAGTGTGAATGTATGTATGCTGTGTATGTATGTGTGTATGTAGTGTGTAGTGTTATGTATGTAATGTAATGTAATGAAATGTAATGTAATGTCGTGTATGCGTGTATGCGTGTATGTATGTTATGTATGTTATGTATGCTATGTACGTATGTATGTATGCTATGTGAGTATGTATGTAATGTACGTATGTATGCGTGTGTATGTATGTGTATGTGTATGTATGTATGTATGTATGTTACGTTATGTTATGTTACGTATGTATGTGTGTGTGTTGTGCTATGTATGTATGTATGTATGTATGTATGTATGTACGTATATTTGTATGTATGTATGTATGTACGTATGTATGTTTGTATGCATGCATGCATTATCAGTGTGTGTTAATGTAATGTAATGTAATGTAATGTAATGTAATGTAATGTAATGTAGTGCAGTGTAATGTGTGTAATATATGCAATGCAACGCAGTTCATGCGCGTAATGTAATATAATGTATGTCTGTATGTATGCATGTGTATGTATGTGTATGTATGTATGTATGTATGTACGTACGTACGTATGTATGTATGTATGTGTTTAATATATGTAATATGTGTAATTTATGTATGCATGTATGTATGTTTGTAATGTGTGTATGTTATGTTGTGTTTTGTTATGTTATGTTATGTTATGTTATGTGGGTAATGCTATGTATGTAGTGTATGATGTAATGTAATGTACCGCAACGTAGGCCCTCTGAGCCCGTTGGGCTCGTTCGGGCCCATTGGGCCTGTTGGGCTTGTCGGGCTTGTCGGGCCCGTCGGGGTCGTTGGGACCGCTGGGCCCGTTGGGCCCGTTAAGCCCGTTGGGCCTGTGGGCCCGTTGGGAGCTTGGGCCTGTTGAGTTCGTTGCCATTGAGCGCGTTGGGCTTGTCGAGCCCATTGAGCGCGTTGGGCCCGTTGATTTTATGGAACTGACCGGTTTAACATCTGGGTTGTGACTGCACTAAGTGACGGGTTTTTTGCTGCACTAAGTGACCTGTTTAACACTTGGGCTCTAACTGCACTACGTGACGGAATTTTTGCTGCACTAAGTGACCTGCTGACCGGCAGAGCTCGCTGCAGCCGTTGAGCTTCAAACCCTGGTGAGAGCCTGCACACAGCCCGCCGGCCGGATGTTGGCCCGAGATGACCCCCACATCGAGGAGCTCGGGGTTGTCAATTGAGCAGTCGACATCCACGAAAATCGCGCTTTTCGAGGAGGGAATGTAACCACAGAAACACACAATGGCAAAGTTGACCTCATCAATATGTTTGTCAAGAACCAGAGGTGCCCATACCCTCGACTCTCGCGCTCGCTTTCTTTTGCCCCCCCCCCCTTCACATGTGCGGGCAGCCTAGGAGCTCATCAAGAAGATGACTATCGAGGAGAAGGCTGGGCAACTCACGATTCTGGCGGACACCATCCGGCCTTCCAACCCGGACATCAACCCTGAGGTGCGGCGAGTGGAAGGGGAAGGTTTGGGGCGGGGAAGGCCTAGAAGGTCAAAGTGGATCTTGCTACCCTTTTCAGAGGGGCATGCGCCTGAGAAGTGAACAAGGGAATGTTTGCCACTGCACCAGTTTAAAGCTCTTGAATAGAGGCGCTGCTCCCCCCCCCAAAAAAAAGAACCAAACGACACACACACACACATGCATGTGTCGGCGGACGGAGCCTTGGCCGGAGAGTTGCCAGGTGAACGTCCGGCAGGCGGACGAGATGGTGGAGCAGATCCGGAAGAGCCGGGTGGGGTCCTTGTTCAACGGGGTGGGGGTGAAGGAGGGCCGCGAGGCCCAGCGCATCGCGGTGGAGGAGGGCTTCGGGGCTTGGGAGTTGGGGGGTGTCCCAATGGATCCGAATGGCTTCGTTGGAGACGAAGCAGCGTCTTCGCTATGTGAGCAAGAGATTGGATGCTGGACCACGGCTTTTAATGGTGTCATGCTTGAAGGCTGAATTGGAGGAAGCTTCTTGCAATAAACTTTTTTTCGGTAGAAGGAACGCTGAGGATGAACAGGCCGCAGTCATGGAAGAAGCAGGGCCAACTGCTTCCCCCTCTGTCAAAGAGAGAGGCTCCCATGTCAGGAGACGAGGCTGGGCATCCCGCTCATTTTTGGCAGCGACGTGATCCATGGCATCTCACCAGAAATTTGAGGCATCCGCTCCAGACCTCCTCCTTATCCTTGTTTGATAACCCTCTGCCGGCATGTCCCGTCTGTTTAAAAGTTGTTTTTGGGGGCATGTACTTTTATCATAGCATGTTTGCTCATTGCCACCATTTGGCTCAAGTTTTATCTCCGGCAACCCTCACTTGCCATCTCGTCACGTGCTCGCGGCGGCACTGGCCACCGTCTTCGCGCAAAAGGTGCGCGGGGCCGGCAGGCCGTGGTCCGGGTCTTCGTGGAGGTGGGTCGGGTGTTGTGTTGGGAGGTCGCCCTTTGTTTTGCTACTGCACGCTTGCTCGCTTTGCTCGCTTGGTGCTGCTCGCTGCTGGTTTGCTTGCCTGCTTTGCGCTGCGCTGCGCTTCTGCTTGGTTCCTTCTTGTTACAACGAGGCACCCCTTTTGGTTCGTGTTTGTGCCGGCCGGGGGCAACCGCTTTGCCCTTGGGACTGGGGGGATAAGGTGGTCTCTTCTTGTTGGTGGGTTAGGGCCTGTTTTATCCATCCCGAAACTCTGTTTCAAACCCTTTCGCAGGTTATCAGCCGTAGGATTCGTCCTCGGTTGGCACCGCGAACCCCTTTTTAACAACCCTGCAGGCATCGTAGGGTAGTGTAAATAGTATGGCGGGAATCACTGAGGATGGACCTCATGTGGTAACCGATGAATGGGTTCTCGGCCAGGCCGGAATCTTGGACGTTGTGAATGACGGCCAAGTGCCCGGACAGCCGATGTTTTCCGGTCCTGACTTTTTGTCGGACCACACTTTTTCCGAAGCAATGCCTTCAGGAAGGTCCAGTGCTACTCGCACTGATGACCTATCGTCTAATGCCTCAAGAGCTAATCGCTCTCAGGGTCATGGGACTAATCGTCCTGACCATGATGATTCCGTCTCAGGACGTGATGATGACGAGCCCGGTATTGTACCTGGAGCTCAATCCTCATCTTTCCCGGAGCTGATGAATATTGGTCAGTCCGAGTTTCGTGACTCTCGAAGTAGCAGTAGACCTGTGCCAACCAGCAGTATAGTTTTTCAAGCGCTCGGTAATCCCGAACCCGGTGCATCCAGTGGAGTTGCATTTGATGTTCATCTGCCAGCCGATATCGGTAGGTCAGATTGGATGGCCTCATGGCCGAACGACGGTAATATTTTTGGCATGGATTTCAATACATGGATGCCAGGGCCACCCGCCCCATCATCTTTCCCGCAGTTTCAGAGCCCAAAGCGGACTGCTGGAAGCGAGGAATTCATGCTACCCTTGTCCATTGAAAATCTCAATCCTGATGTAACCAGCCGCAATGTCAGGCCAAGGCCATCGGTAAACCCGACAATGAGGAATATGTCCCCTCCCCCAGGACTTTCAGGATTTGAGAGTCCAAGGGAGCGAAACATTGTAGATAGGTTGGATTTGCATCCCAGTCCTACGCCAAGCAAACGGTCTAGGTCAGACTCGGCCAGCTCGCATAGGGCTAGAAGGATGGATCGAGAGACCGCACACAGGGGAAACCCCAGTGTGCGGGGCTCAAGACGTGGTCACTCAGGCGATCCCGCGTCGATTGTCGGTAGGGATCCGCTAAACGCGGACACGTTGATTAACGTGCTTGATGGGATCGAAGCATTCCAGGAGGAATTCAATAGGTCGAGTGGCTCGAATGTACAGCCTGTTCGCCCTACGCCCAATGCGGCTTCCTTTCTCGCCATTGACAACACAGACGGAGCTGATGTTCCGATTGAGTCTGAGTCCATGATGGCATCAAGTTCCAATCACAACAACACCGTCAGCAGCGCCACCGATGTTGAATCAATGTCTGAGTCTAGAGCGTCCAATGCGACTGATTTGCATGACGTTGTCATTGCCGATATGAAGCCTGAAGTTCCTATGCGGACTGATAGGCCAGTAGTTCCCAAATTGTTTGTGACAAAGGGTCTAGGCATGCCACAGCCATCAGCGGTTCGTGATGCCAGAAGATCTGCACCGTATCAGAGTCAGTCTCCTAATCGGAGCGAATTCCCACGGCCATCAACGGCTGTACAAGATGGTTTCAGGACACCTCCGAGATCTAATCCGATCATGGTTGATTTGTCCACTCCTCGAGATCGCGGATCAGGATTTGGTCCTGCGAGTGAGGAGCAACCCAACGAGGTTGCTGATCTTGTAACAGCCCTTGAAAGAGGGAGAGTGGACTCTTCGGTAAGTGCGATCATTCATCGCCTGGTTGCTAAGGTCGAAGACCTTGGGCGTAGGAATGATAGAAGTGATCAATGCATCAAGCAGCTCTCCACTGAGGTTAACTCGTGGAGGGCCAAATACGACCAATGCGTCCATGTGAGTAGCACGTGTACGCAGGCTGCGAACGCGGCCATGCAGCTGTCACAAGGGACTAAGGACATCGTGACCGAGCTCGGCCAACGCGTCAAGATCGTTTCCAATCGCATGACAAGCATAGGCGATGCCCTAAATGAGCGAGCCAGCTATGATGATGTTGCTCGCTCCATCACCCAAGTTCAAACTGTTTTTGAATCTCTTTCTGATCGAGTAACCGGGCTTATAGCTCGTGTTGATGCTATCGAGAGATCTCTAGTGGAGAGCCAATCCAACCATCCTGCGATTGGTGGAGTAAACCTCAAAATCGAGGACCTGTCCACTAGGGTATGTCAGATTGATAGGATGATGCAAGATGTCGAACAATGCTGGACCAATAATAGGGACGGCATAAAGTGGGTTAAAGACCAACTTTATGAGACACAAGCCAACCTTGAGATAAAGTCAAGGGACTGCAAATCCTACACGGACAAGCAAAATACTCATAACATGGCCGTTTCGACTACGCTCAACAGTAAGCTCGAGCAAATGCTCGAGGTGCTGGGTAATACGGCCCAGAGAATTAACTCCCTCGAGTCAAGGCACTCGAACCAGGCATCAAGTAGTGGATTGAACGATCGCACAGGAGGAAGGCGTGCCGCGTCCCGTACTCCGGATAAGCGGCCACCTCCACTTGGCCCTCCTGATGATGATCCTCCACCACCTCCTCCTCCAGATCGGCAAAGCCCAGGAGGAGGGGGGAAGAAGAGTGCTGCCGGTGGGAACCCTGGCGACCCTGGTAAACCCAGGTGTAAATACGTAGGTGATGGAAATAATCACCTCATGGCTGAGTTTCACTGCAAAGGATGCAGAGATGATATTTGTGAGTATTGTTTCTCGTTCAAAGAGAACTTGTGTGAAGAATGTTCCCGTAACGGACCCCGATGCGGTGTCTGTAGGGAGAGCTCGTTCCTGACCAAGGGAATTGAGTGTCAGTTTTGTAGGACCTACTACTGCACCAGACATTCTGCTGGGCAGGATGACTACAGGAGATTTGGATTTGTCCAGGGTCCCTGTTGTCTTGCGTGCCTTAGGGACGAAACTAGGAGAAGAAGGGATCCCGATGCTAACCGTGTCAGGAATAGATCTCCTGAGACGAACCCGACGCGGTCGTACTCGCCGCCTCTGCGGCCACCCGTTGACAGATTCCGTGACATTCCCACTGGGGGTCAACCCAACGCGGCTGACCCTCAGAGCCCTCCGAAGGCTACGCAACCCGTGCCCCTGGATAAACGTGAAACCGGATATTATCCAGGATTTGATCCCAACGGTACAAGGGCGAAGGATCCTTCAGGCCTTGAGCCGCCGACCATGCGTGGCCCCGATCCTCCTGACAAGAACTGTCGGATGTGTGATCGGGATATTCCTGACCCCAGCAAAATTGGGGAATGTAAGATATGCATGAAAAAGGCATGTGAGATTTGCATTCCGAAGGCTACTCGCCTTTGTCCTGTATGTGCACTGTCAATCAGTAGTTCTCAGGTTCCACAGCATCTTTTCGGAACTGGTGGCGGCGGATACAGTAGCCACCATGATCCGAACTGTACAGCTGCGACTAAGTGCATTCCCATAGACCTCCCGCCAGAGCCCGACGCGGCTGGGCTGAGGGTATGGATAGCCAATATGAAGGAAGCTGTTAGCAATGCCTACAGCTATGATGGACTTTACGTCATCAATTGGCTAACTGAAGTCGAGAAGGCAAAGACCTTTGATGAACTGGATGGGGAATGTAAATACCACATCCTTGAAGCCAGGTTCAATGCAGCCATTCGGAAGTGCATCAAGACTGTTGCAATTATCGATAAGATTAATCGTCTCACCGAAGCCGCTCAACGCTCCAACAATCGCATCAAGAGTAGGCAGATCCTGTGGCTCTTATACGACCACTTAAGGACTGCAAATATCGGAGAGCAATCATTCAGGATAATTGAGCTCTCAAACTTGCGATGCAGTGTTTCATCTTTCTATACTGAAGAGGAGCGACTTGAAAGGTTCATCGCGAAGTGGGATCACATCCTTGCGGGTCTCGATGAACCGCTGACCGAGCAGGTAAAGCGGTCGCTATTCAGTGAGAAGGTTAGACACCTCAACTGTTTGGCTCATGATATCAGGGAATGGGATAGGAACATATCCAACCCTGATGTTTGTAGCTATGAATGGCTTCGTGCTCGTTGTAAGAACGAAATTGACCGCTGGAGGGTTCGTAAGAATCAGGTCAATATGCACAAAGACTTTTACGAACGATCTCAGTCCAGGGACAGAGCCCAGAAACCTGGTGCTCCTGGTCCTCCCGTCAGGAGACGATCTCCGTTTGGAGATTCCCATAGGCCTAATCGGCCTCCTAGTGATCCAAGGAAGAGGACCGGTAATACCCCAAGTCCTCATCGAAGGGACAAGTACTCTCCCAGGAATCGGGAGCAGGACAAGCGGCGTACGCCTAGCCCTAGGGGGGAACCCCCAAGGAGGCCCAGATCTACGTCGCCCGGTGCTCCTGCGATTGATGCGTGCAGGGACTTCGCGCGTGGATACTGTTCGCGCGGACAAGAGTGCAAATTCGCACACACAAGAACTGGGAGTTCCGATGCGAAACGCAAGGAGCGTCCTCCCCTGATT